AGAAAGCCACCTAATTTCAGTCTAAACCCCTCCATCGATTCTTGGCGAGGAGGAAGATTTACAAACCCTCCAACACACTCGGAAATCCTGTAGAAAAATCTATCAGCAGATGGGCAAGTCCTGATCTGTATTTACAAAATCAGGCCAATAAATCCCAAATAAGAGGGTTTTTTCCTTTGCATATCTTGGTAGTTTGGCCCTCAGAAAGGATTTAAAAACTCCCCAGGGAAGTACATGCCTGGGGAGCATCTCACCGCTGAGGACGAGGTGCAGACCCTGGTGCATCTTCCCCAGGCAGGGACGGAGCAGCCACCGCTCGCTGTGATGTCCAAAAGCTGCCGAGTCAGCTATTTCTAAGCACATGCCAACCTTTCCGGCACACCCTTCCCAGCTGAAGGGAGGCACAAACACGTTTCTCAGCAAAATGAAGGCAGGGAGGAGCTGAATAAATAAACTTTGCTCCAACTGAAAAGCAGCTGACTGCACGGTGTGCTCGGCTCGCCCCGGGAAGAGGCAGCGAGTGGGCGCTGAGTGCTCGAGGGAAGATGCATCGGACGGTCCAGACGTGCCCTGCTGTGACAGAAACCTGAATTTCCAACATCCCAGTTTAGCTCAGTTTCTTTCCCAGCGGTAATGGTGTTTACATTCAGCCCGATGCAGCTCATTTGCTGTTTCTGTTTTAAAGAGTGAGAAAGGGTGAAAATCTGTTTTCATGGGGCTGAAGAAGATGATGGCAGGTTTACCTGGGAGTTGCCCAACTGGTGCGCGGGCAGCAGTGCCAGGCTGCCACCACCGTACCCTCCTGGGGATGGAGGCTGAAAGGCTTGAAGGATGCCAGCACCAAGGGTGCCCAGTGCCCCTGGATGTTCATGCTGGTGTCACTGGTTGGTGCTGCCACCTGCACCGGGGAGACACGAGGGTGTGAAGCTGCAGGAGCTGCTCTGCAGGGGCAGCAGTCACCCATTGTCAGCACCCTGCAGAGCCGAGGGGGGACATGGGGGGACACAGAGCTTTCTGAGGAGTCATGTGGTCCCTGCACCAAAATGGGGGGCTTTTGAGTGACAAAAGGTCCAGGGAACACGCCACGCTCTGGGTGCTGCACACCTTGCACTGGGTGCTGCACAGCACACGCTGGGTGCTGTACACCCTGCACTGGGACTTGCACACCCTGCACTGGGTGCTGCACGTAATGCACTGGGACCTGCACAGCACGCACTGGGTGCTGCACACCCTGCACTGGGTGCTGCACATAATGCACTGGGACTTGCACACCCTGCACTGGGACTTGCACACCCTGCACTGGGTGCTGCACATAATGCACTGGGACTTGCACACCCTGCACTGGGACTTGCACACCCTGCACTGGGTGCTGCACATAATGCACTGGGACTTGCACACCCTGCACCAGGACCTGCACGCCACACACTGAGTCCCATGTGCCACCGCATCTCCAGACCTCAGCAGAGGCCTTTTCGGGGGAAGCTGTGCCTTGCACCCCAGGGTGCTCAGCAGGGCGCGGGACTGTGCTGTCCCCCGTGGGACCCAGGTCAGCGCCTGCGTCACAGCCCCGGCGCGTCGCCCTGCTGTGGTCATTAGACTCCCTCCCATCCCTCTGTATTTTAAAGCCTTATTCTTTCCCTGTCCCTCTGATAAGAAATGCTAATGATGTGATGAAATTGGATAGTTTGGTCGCCTTCTCCCGCTAATGGAACTCTTGTGTTCGTTAATTTGCTGTTTTTAATGGGCTGATTGTTCTCCTGTGCTGGGGGAACCACGTGAGCCCTTCAGTGTGTTTTGCCATGGTCAGATGTGAGGTGGTGCTTGAAGGCAACTGAACCTTGGTGCTCAATAATTGCAGAGCAATTTGGAGACAAGACCCAAATGTATAATTTATCGGCGCTTCATTCATCCTGGTCACAAGCAGTCGCAGAGATGCTCGCGCTGCTCCACGGAGCCCCCTTGGGACCCGTGCCCACCTTCCCGCACACTGGCTCTGCTGGGGGCCAGGGAGGGGGAAAAATAAACCTTGCAAATTAATGAGGATTTCCTCAGCCCTGCAGCAAGTAATTGCAGAGCCCCAAACCCGAGGGCAGAGCTCACCTGCTTCCTGCTGGCCTCGGTGCTGCTGCCACCGCAGAGGGAGGTGGGTTGGGTGTGGAGCGATGCTCAGCTGGGCACGAGGAGTTTGGCTCTTGGCAGGAGCATGGTGAGGGAAGTAGGTGAGGAACCAGCCCCCCCTACTCCCCCCATCCCAGCTGGACCCGCTGCCTGCTTGTACTGATGGAAAGTGCGTGGGAAACAGCCCCACTTGGCTCCACCACACTTTGGCTCTGGGTGCCAAAGGGGTCTGAGGGAGCTGGAGAGGGATGCCCCAGCACTGCCAGTCATGAGGAGATGATTTTCCAGCCATAGGAAGATTTTCCAGCCATGGGGAGATTTTCCAGGCGCACGAGTCCCCGGGGCTGGATCCATCCCCTGGGACCTGAGCAGAGCCCGGTGACAGCCACAGCTGGGAGCGGCCAGGCGCAGTGGGCAATAAACGGGCTGGGGAATAAACCCCCTCCACATCCTGGCTCCCAGCCCGCGGGGATTTTCCTAACGGCCTTTGTACCGAGGTGCCCGCATCAGGTCGGGCAGCACAGGGTGCAGGCGGGGGGGGAAGAGGGTGCAAGCCCCGGGGGATGCTCGCTGTTGCGGCCGCGGTGGCACTGGGGACCCGCACGGTCCAGTCGAGGTGGCTGGTCCTTCCACCCCAAAGCTGCTGCACCGGGGAGGGGGGTGGACCCCCCCCTTAAAAGACAGGGAGGGCTGGTGGGGTGCACGGAGCAGTGTTGTGGGGTGCTGCTGACATCCCCCATCCTGGATGACCACCAGCCAGCCCTCCCAGTGTCCCAAGCCTCTGTCGATACAGGGAGCATTGGTGCAGGCTCTGTTTGCCACACTTGCTGTTTGTAAACCATAGCCAGCGAGGGAGCCGTAAGCCGAGCACATTATCTCCTCCAGACAATTAGCAGAAGCATTAATGGAATATATGCAAATGTGCAGTAATTGACCTGCGACTCCTCAGTTCATGATGGAGAAGGATGAGCTCCAGATGGCTTAATGATAGTAATTTAAGCCCCTTCTTTATATGCCATGCTTCCTTGCCATAGCCTGGCAGGACCAAGCTCAGGTGGGGAGGAGGGTGGGTGGCAGCGGGGACATTGGGAACCAGTTTGCACTCTAGCAGCGTCCCAAACCACCCCATATTCTTCAGCACCCATATAAAACCCCGGGAAGGTGGGTTGAAACACTGAACAGCTGCTCATGCCAGCACGGGAGGGGAAGCCGTGAGGTCCCACGGAGTAGCCCTTCCCCACTGGCCACCGGCCAGCGAGCCTGGGAGAGTGGCCAAGCGCCGAGAGGCCCGTGGGACCAGCGGGCTGGGGGATGCTCACCCACCGCGGCGGGGGCCGGACCACCCGCCCTGGCTGGGCCAGGGTCCCTCCTGCGCCTTTGTCCTGCCACAGAGGTGCCTGCAGGTGCAAAAGCTGGAATAGCAAGCAGTCTCCTTGCTGGGCTACTACTCTGAGTTTACTCAGCCTTTACTCAGGCTGTGTTGGCCCCAAGCGTGGCCGGGGAGGGGGCTGTTTGGGGAAGCCTGAGGGGTTCACGCCCCACCAGCGATGCCCATGCAGCCTGCCCAGCCCTGAGCTCCACCAAAGTTTGCCCAGCGGAGCCAGAGGTATTTGAAAAACCGCTCTGGGAACCCAAATTAAAATATTTATGTATAATTCATGCCATATGTTCCACCAATATTTTTTATTTAATCAACTGAAGACAGATGGCAGGAACATAGAGGCCATTAAACTAATGGCACTTTGTCTTTTCATTTATTTTTGTCTCCTTTCCTAAAATAAGATGAGTCCGTGACAGGCAGCACACCCCGGGCGCAGGGCTGTCCCTGCCACCGCCGATGTGCTGGCGGGGTGCGGTGACAGTGGCATTTCCCATCGTGAAGCCAGCCTCGCCACATACCCTGGCATGGCATCGTCTGGGGCACCGAATCCTCCATAGCTGGGGGGTTTGGAGGAGAGAAATCCCGCCCCCCGCCCCCCCCCCCCCCCCCCCGAGGGAAAAGCCCCTTTGGGGGGCTGGAGGGGACTGTTCCTTCCCTGGGCTCAGTTGCCCTCCCTGTGCCATGAGCCACCAGGGATGCCCTGGCCTCAACATCTGCAAAAAACTCACTGGGGGTGTGATGGACTGAAACGCAGCCGTGGGAGAGTCACCCTGGGGAAAATGTGGGGACACCACGCTCTCGTGAGGTCCTCCTAGCATTTTGGGGTTCCCCGGGTGGGGGGAGCCGCTGCTTGCAGCAGCCTCCTGCCCTGCTGCCCACCCGGAGGCTGGGGGGGGGGGGGGGGCCTTCGCTTGGGGCCAGCTGGTGCACAGAGATGTTCAGCCCTCGGGGTGAAATGCGTGGGCACGCACAGCTCGTCCTCTCGCGGGTGAAATAGGGGGGAAAGCAGAAATCCTCCATGGGCCCCAGCAGCACCTCCCTTACATGACAAGGCAGAGCTGGGGGGGCTCAGGGGTCGGGGCTTACCCCCCACATCCCTGTCATTGCTCCCAGTGCCCTGACATCTCCCGCCTGTCCTTGAGCTGGGGGGTGAGGAGGGAGTTGAACCGCAGGGCTGAAAGGCAAAGGAGAGCCCCAGCAGCCAGGGACGCGTCCTGGGATGCTTTCCTAAGTGTGCCTTTCTCTTTGACTTGCAGGTGGAGATTTCTTGCCCCGGGAGTGAGCTGAATGGGGCTTCATTAGACAAAGGGTCCCAGTCAGCATTTCAGGCCCCGAGACGCGTCCAGGGACTTTTCATTCTTTGTCTGAAAGGGCGACGGTGCCGTTTCCATTAGAGAGATGCTTGCGAGAGCCAGTGCGGCCGAGCGGAAAGGCGAGCAAGAAGAGCTGTGTCAGCTGATCGGCTTTCAAATCACCTTCAAACCCTCGATTTCCTTAACGTGATCCCTCCATCAGCCACGGCTCCGGGGCACGGCTGGGGGGCTTTGCCGGCAGGAGAATAAACCTGGGACGGCGGCGACAGCCAGCGCTGGAGAAACACACCCCCCCCCCCCATGCACCGTGGGGTCAGGGGGCTCAAAATCCACCCCCGCTGCCTTCCCCACCCCTCCCAGACTTTTTAGGGTCGGGCAATAGCTTTGCACGGCCTCAACCTGCAGTCCCCACTGCGTTTTCGGGGTGTCTGCTCCCCCGGTACACCCCGGGAGCCACCTTCAGCCTTAAGGGGGGAGGGCAAACCCTGCCTTGGAGCATCCCTGGGGCCGGAGAGCAGCTCCCCCGCGGCGCCGGCTGCCGGGGAAGGGATGAAGACGCTATGGCCAAATTATTGGTAAAACTCCAGCGGTATTTTCGGCGAAAACCGGTGCGTTTCTTCACGCTGCTGGCTCTCTACCTGGCGGCCGGCAGTTTGGTTTTCCTGCACTCGGGTTTCAGCGGGGAGCCCACGGTGACGGGGAGCCAGCGCGGCCCCGGGGCCGGCGAGGGGCCGGGGCTGCCCTACCTGGGGGTGATGCAGCTGAGCCAAGGCTTCAAGGCGGCGGCGACGATGCCGGAGGGGGGACGGCGGCACGGACCCTGGTTCAAAAGCACCTCCAAGGAGCCGGCGGAGAGGGGAAAAGCCGGAGACTACAGCAGCACCCGGAGCCGGGCGCTCAGGGGCAGGGGCACCCACGAGAAGGAGGAGGACAGAGGTAAGGGCTGGGGGGACACGCATCTGGGCGGGGGTCCCTCCTCTTGGCCTCTCCCGGGGAAAATCTCGTGAACCGGGGTGATGGTCTCCAGGCTGGTTTAGTTGCACACCCCTACCAGGAACAAATTTCTGAGCATGCACGTCCAATAAACGTGTATTTATTTATTTATAAACCATATGCACGTGCGACTTGAGAACTAAGATTTTCTTCCTGCACCCCATGGACCCTAGGGCACAGCATACTGCTTTGGAGACCGCTGATCCAGAGGATGTTCCCAGAAAGATCTCTCTCGTTCCCCTCCTTCCTCCCTCCCCAAATGCCAATAATCCACTTTTCTTTTTCTGTTTTTCGCTCTTTCCCACTTGTGCATCATCAAGGTCCGAGTCGCACCTTGCTGGGACAGGCGCTTTTGGGGGTGCCAACGGGGGAGAGGCTGCACCCCGTCATCATCCCATCCTTTGGCTGTGCCAGGTGCCAAAATCAGTTTTAATTCTGTTGGTCCCAGTGAATGGTAAAAAGAGATTTGTGGCCCATTATTTGCATTGCTGGGGTGTTCAGGCAGGGGCTGGTTGTGATCACTTTGTGGGCACTGGGGTGCAGGCAGGGCTGGGGTTTGGCTTTTCAAGCCAGGAGATCCCTGCCGGGCTGCTGCCCAGGGTGCGTGGTGTATTGTCAAGTGGGACCATTATTAATGAACAAGGATAAGCGAATATAGTGGTTCTCATTGATTTTTAAAATGTCACCTATTTATCCCAAAGGCAGACAGGCTTGCACGCTCGCTCTGGATTTGGGTGGCTGGGGGCTGCTCATCGGGGCTTTTCGCATCCCCAGATTTTTGCATTCAGCTCATCGTCTCCCTCGCTGGCACCCACGAGGAAACTCGGAAGGGAATCGGGAGTGGAAAATGCCCGAGAGGTGTTGGGATGCTGCCGGGCTCTTCTCTGCCTGTTGCTCCCTTCTCCTGAGCTCCAGGGTGGGGGGAATCTCTGATGGGGGGATGCACATCTGTGGGGAGCCCCGGTGGCCGTGAAGGCTGTTTGGTGTGAGCAAGGCTGCGCCCCAAAGCCGGACTTGCTCAGGAACTGCGCCGGGGGAGCTTGGCACATGCAATTCCCCCGGGGCATCCCAGGCTGGGAGCCGCAGCTCCCTGGACCCTTGATGGAGCAGGGGGTGTGTGGCTCGGAGAGATGCAGGAAACCCCCAACCCTGTGGCGAATTGGGGGATTCAGAGGCTGAGCCAGGCTTAGTCCCCCCAACCCAGGCTGCTCCCAGCCACCGGCCCCGTGGCAGGTCTGTGCTCACATTCCCTCTGGGCAAAATGTACAGTCCAGGCTTGGAAGCAGGAGGAAAAAAGGCTTGTGGTGTTTAAGGGTCTTTCTCATGCTAAAATGAGATGAAAGGGAGTTTCCCTGTCGTGCCCCCGTGCAGAGGGGTCTCCGGGAGACTTTCTGAGACGTGTGGTTGCTCCGTTACTGCAAATTGGGATTTGGCGAATCCTCACCAGATGGTTCGGCAGCCCAAGCTGTTGGTCACCATAAAACCCCCCCAACCTTCACTGGTGCCCGGATGGACTGTTGGGGTGCTGGGCTTGGGCATCGCCGGCTTTAGCCGCTCGTAGGCGGTTTGGGAATATCAGCTTTTCCCTTTTCAATCTCGCATGGGAGGGCTTGGCATGGGAAGCGGTCAATGCCTGGTGTGCCTGTGGGGCTGGCGGAGCCTCGGGGGGACGGGTGCTGAGCACCCACCTAGCTCCCCAGCTCCTCTCTGAAGTGCCTGGGCCATCTGGCAGGAGCAGGCAGATTTTAATCTGAACGGTGTTAATTAAGCAGGGGATGGTTTAACAAGGCGGCTGTGGAGGCTCTGCCATGTGAAACCGTTCCAGAGGGAATACTGCTCCTAAATTCAGCTCTGGTTTAGCTAGCGAGATGTGAGGCTCTGGCTTGCCAGGGTGCTGTGCCTCCCTCCTTCTCCTCATCTTCCTCCTTCTCTGTCTCCCGACTGTGCTGGTGGAGCCCCAGGGTCAGACCAAGGTCCAGGGGAGCCCCATCTGCCAAGGAACAGTTTTGGCTCGTCTGCATCCCCGTGTGAAGGCGCATCTCCTGCCTCAAATCTGGGGGAATTTTTGGCCAGTGAAGCTGGGGGGAGCAATCACCGGCCCCAGCCTGGCAATGCCCAGCATCGCTTCCTCTCTGCCACATCCATCTCTGGTCCTTTGCTGGACGTTTCCAGCCATTCCCAGCCCGGAACCCACGAGGAAGCAATGCCATGAAAAAGGAGGGACCGGCCACCCTGGTCACACAGCCGAAAACATCCCTGTATCTTCCAAAACTGTCCCAGGGGTGGTCAGCATGGGCCACCCTTCCTGAAGCTGCTGCCATCAATATCCACCCGCTCTTTCCCATGCTCACATGGAACATCTCCCTTCCCACATGCCAAACCTGTATGGATGGAGCCGAGGGGACACCCCAGCCCGCCACCAGCGAGCCGTGAGTGCTCTGCAGGGCACACAGTTCCTGCCGGGGGGGCTGGGAGGGCTCTGTGCCCAGCGCGAGGCTTTCAATCAACCAGCTGGAAAATCAAGGGCAGATACTTGTTTCAAGCATCACCCTGCAGCACAGCCCTGTGAAAACATTTCTGTTCTGCCTTTCGCTTGTTAAACAGTGGCAGTGGGTGCCGGGAGAGCCCGGCGAGGGGCTGCTCGAGCAGAGAGGGAGGATAGACAGACGGACAGAGGTGTTGCCCCTCCAGACAGACCAGCAGTGCCAACTCCCAGCTCACAGGAGCTGGGTCCCGATGGCACCACTCCGGAGAGCATGGCTGGGGGATTTGTTGGGATGCTCCATGAGGAGGGGGGGGTCATTAGTGACCCCAAACGATGGCTGCTGGGGCAGGGGAGCAGCCCGGAGTGCACCCCATGGATCGGGGCAGCGTTGCAGGGGTACAACTTGCTTCCCCACACAAGTGGGGTCACCGACTGGCCCCGAGCGCGAGCGCATCACCCAGGGTGGGGGTCCCTCCTTGTACCCCACGCCTGCACATGATGGGGACCCCAGCACCAAAGCGGTTTGTGCTCATGTGCTCTGCCACGGCCAAGAGCTGTGGTGCTTTCTGGAAGACCAAGCTTTACATTAAGATGTTAAACACAACTTTGCAATGCTGGCAGCCCCGGTGAGCAGCCTGGCTTCTGGAAGAGTGAGACACGTGGGGAATTTAATGGATATTGCCAGGTAGATCTGTGTGTCTGTTCACACGCATGTTTCCAACCTGCTTTGAAATTCATCTTGGCCCTGTGAGAGCTGCATGCTGGGGCAGGATCCCCTCTCGCTGCTCAGCACCCTCTAGCAAGCTTTGCCTAACCCAACCACGCGCCTTTCAAAATCTCCCCCTGCTCACTCCTCCTCCACTTATTGTCCTCGCATCTCCCTAATTATTCCAATTGCCTTCCTAATAAGTTGCAGCACGCATATGTCAAGAGCAATGGATTGAAGGTAACTCACATCAGTCACTGGCTCTGTACGAATGACCGGAGCAATCCTGCACTGGTTAGATCTGTCACGACCGAAATGAGCTGACCTGCTGAAACCTGCTCGGCGCTGTGGAAATGCCACGTTATGCTGAGAGTAATTGGGAGCAACGAGTTATGACTCTTTGGTGGTTAAAGCTATATCAAGGCACATTTCTCTTGCTCTTTCTCCTCCGCCTTACTTCAGGCTGGCTTGGGGAAGCCAGTCTGCAGCGCTGGTGGGGTTTGTGCCCTGTTGGGGCAGTGGGGAGGGCGGGGGTCTGTGTGTGGGGTGTAGGCGTGGAGTGGGTTCAGGAACCCCCCCAACAGATGCAAAGTGCAAGCAGGAGGTGAGAAGTATTATCCCATAGCGTGGGTTGGCATTGGAGTGGCACGTGTGGAGATGCTCTGCTGCTAAAGGGATGATTTGGTGTGTGATGGAGACATGGAGATGGAAGGAGAGGCGCGGGGTGGTGATCACACATGGGAAGAGGCACTTTGCTTGCCTAGAGCCGTGGCTTCACTCTTGGCCAGAGCAGGGGAGCCCTCGCCTCCCAAAGCCCCTCGGCCAGGGTGCTGGGGCCAGAGCCCTGGGTGGCACAGCTGGAGGGGTGCTTGGTGCTGTGGAAGAGACCTGCTTGGCTTGGGAGCTGGTGGTCCTGAAGGGACAGGAGCCTCTCCTTTTGTGTCCCCCACGCTGGGACCCTGCAGCAGCAGCTCAAAGCCAGAGGCCAGTGGGGACCACATGTGCTCCAGGATTTACGCCAGGACGAGGTCACCCTCTGCCAGCATCCTGCAGAAGATGCCCTGAGAGTGGAGCAGATATTTCAGGAAAATAAAAAGCGAAAGATTGCCATTGTATTCATCGAGGATGAAAACAGGGAGCGAGGTGAACCAGACTGGTTTGGAATTCCAAGCCCACTCGGCCGTTGTCCCCAGGCCAGTAAGACCCAGCCACTGGTCCCCGGGGCCACCCTCCCATGGGGCACCCACACTGGGTGGCCGACCTGCACATCCTCAGCCAGAACATGTTAATGAACACCTCGTTAGCTGATTATCAGATGGTTAATCCCACCGACTCCTGAAACCCCTGTCCTCCTCCAGCAGCAGTGGCAGGGAGGATGCTGAGCATCCCTGCACCAGAGCCGTATCCCTGCGTCGGCAGCAATACATTTTCCTTGCAGCAAATGCTCAGGTGGGAGCAGGAGCAGGGCACTAATGAGAGCACTAACGAGGGCACTAATGAGGGCACCTAACGAGGAGAATGAACAAGGATAAGGCGGGTTCTGGCTTGCACCTAATGAGAGCCCACAGCCAACATGCAGCATTGCATTGAGGATGCAGGCAAGGAGATGGCTGTTTGTTTTCAGATTATTGGGAAAGGCTACATTTGTCAAATAAATGATTTCATCATAACTATTTATTCAGCTCTATTCTCTGTCTATGAGCATCTTCATTTGCTCTCAGCACAGGCATCAGACTTTACTTTGCCAGGTGTTAGCACTGGGCAAATATCCTCCACATCACTGTCTGGGGCTGGGGAAAATAAGTTGCTAGCTAAGGAAAATTTGTTTTAAACTGCCTTTCTCCGTCCTGCTCATCCTTGTGTTCCTGGCGGGGCAGAGTGAAGGGGATTGGTTATTTTACCATGTAGCTCCTCACTTTTTGGAGCTGATTTTCTCAGTTTTCAGGCCTGTGGGAAGGAAGAGGATGGAGAGGAGAAGCCCCGGTGCAGAGCCACAGCATCCTTTCTATCCGTAGTGGGTGTTTCTGGGCTTTCCCTGCAGCGTTTGCAGGAGCGGGGTGTACCCTGAGCACGTGTTTTCAAAACAAACAGAGCATGTTGCTGCACATCCCTATTTAGGGAAAAATCAAAAAGGGGAGTGGGTGAGAATTGGGCTCAGCCCCGGTTGGTTCTTATCCCCCTTTCCTCCACCCTTCCCCCAGCAAGATACATCGGCTGCTACGTGGACAACACTCGCCGGCGAACGCTGCGCGGCGTGTCCTTCTTTGACTACAAGAAGATGACAGTCTTCCGTTGCCAGGACAACTGTGCCGAACGGTAAGGCGGGAGATGGGCACCGCGTCTTCACCCATTCCTGCACACCGCCGGCGTTTCTGCTCTCACAGTTCCCTGCCCCAGCTGCTCCCTTCCCCTTCTTCCCACCTTCTTTTTTCTTTAGATTTATGTAATTTTTTTTTTTTTTTTTAATTTTGTTTCCAATTCACTGGTGTTTTCTAGAACTGCAGCTTCCTCCCATGGAAAAAGGCTGGGGGGGGGATGATGGTCTCCATTCTCATACAGGGCAGGAGGGGTGTAAGAGCTCCAGTTCAGTGCTGGAGAGCCTTGAGATTACCCAGGGTTGGCCTCACCAAAACACCTTCCTCAGATGTCGAAGTGCATCTGTGAACAACTGGGGAGACACATGGATCCCTTGCTGGACAATGGGATGGAATGGAACAGAATAGGATGGAATAGGATGGAATAGAATAGAATAATTTTCCATTGGAAGGGACCTACAATGATCATCTAGTCCAACAACGCATCCTTGAGATGCGGTGCTGCTTCCAGCACTGGGTGGGAGCTGCCTGCAGCAGGGATGCTCCTGCAAAACCCCACAGAGCCGAGGGGATGCTCAGGGATGTGCTGAGCACCCCCCCTCTCCCCGCACCCCCCTTTCCCCAGGGGCTACCTCTACGCAGGGCTGGAATTCGGTGCCGAGTGCTACTGCGGGCACAAGGTCCAGGCGGCAAACGCCAGCGAGTCCGAGTGCAACATGGAGTGCAAGGGGGAGAGGAGCAACATCTGCGGCGGGGTCAACCGCCTCTCCATCTACCGCCTGGAGCTGGCCCAGGAGTCTGCCAGGAGATGTAAGTCGGTGGCGATGGTGGGGCTCCTGAAATGGGGGAACCCCTTGCAGTGCCAGGTGGGAGCGATCCCCGGCATCCCCGTGCCACGTCAGCCGGGTCACAGCTCGGGAGAGGCGGTTGGAAAGCGATTTGGGTCTGTGGCTGGGGGTAGTTTTGCTCCTGCGAATCGTGGAGGATCCCCCTGTGGGGATGACTGCTGGCCGGGGCTGGGTGGAGCAGGGAATTCAGGGCATTTTGAGAGGCTTTGGATGAAAACCTCTTTCCTGATGGCCAAACAGGCCTGTCGTTATATTCAGCGCATGCTGCCGGCTGCGGGATGAGGATGTGCAGGAGCTCCAGAAAGAGCCGAGGGTGCTCCCCGTCAGAAATGCTCGTTTGGCGCCCAATTAGGCAGCACTATAATTACCCACAATTGCTGCTTTTCTTTCCTGGTCCCCAAGCAATAGGAAAGAGGGTGGCAGTGCTCAGGCACCCAGTGGAGTGGCTGCCCTGGAGAGGGGCCAAGGGTGCCTCGGTGTGTGCAGCGGTGGGTGAGGACCTGAAATGGGACCCCTCAAGGCACCGATGCTGGGGGTGAGGGCACCAGCCCCAGCCCCAGCCCTGCTCCCCTCGCTGGCTCCATCCCTCATACAGCCTGGGATCAATGAGTTGCTAAAAATAAGGAGGAAAAAATAAACCTGACTTTGCTGCCGGTGCTTTTGCTCTGATTTTGCACCGTAAGCAGGCGGGCGAGAGGCTGGGAGCATGATGGGGCTCCCTCAGCCGATCGCTTCTCCCCTCGTTTTGGCACGGCTAAAAATGACTCAGGATTGTTAGGAATTGTGACTTTGCAGCCAGAGGGTGATGAGAGCTGGAGAAAAGCAGCCGCTGTGCCGACGGGCGGCTGGAGAGGAGCCAGGGGGGACAGGGATGGGGACACCGGGGCACGCAGAGGCTCCTGCTCCTGAGCCTGGGGTATGCAGCGTGGCAGCGGCATCATTTTTGGGGTGCAGCCCCGGCTCCTTGTGGCCGGGTCAGCCCCGCTCCCAGCACTGCTGTGGCCTCTCACCCTCGCAGATGGCAGCGCGATATTTCGGGGGTGCTTCCACCGGCCGGACAACATCTCCATCGCTCTGCCCGTCAGCCAGCTCATGTTGAACATGTCGGTGGACAAGTGTGTGGATTTCTGCACTGAGAAGGTACCGGGGGACAGGGGGGGGTGCAGGTGGAAAGCTTAATCGTCTCAGTCATCATCTGAAAGGGTCACAGTGGTCCTGCTCTCATCCAGGAATGCTGCAATGCAATTTGCTCCCGGGGCGCGGTGCCGATAAACAGGCAGGGGAAAGGCTGGCAGTGGGAATTAAAATTAGATAAATTATAAAGCAGTGGAAGAGGAAGACCTGTAGGTGGGGACAGTCCTGTTCTCCCTTCGTGGCCTCCCTGGCAGAAGACAGTAGGGAATGAACCAGTTAAATACGAGCGGCTGCTCTGTTGCTAGCTCCACGTTCCTGCTGGGGCCAGGAGGTGTAAATAACCAGAGCCCTCGATTAACCCAGCAGTAAATCACCTGTCAGCTGCCGAATGGGCCTTGTAACTCCGGGCTTGGAAACACTGGCGAGGCCACCACAGGGTCATCCGTGGGCTCTTAGTGATCTTGGTGTGGGTGGCAAACTCACAAATGCCGTGCCACGGCTCTGCCAGGGGCACCAGCGTTGCTGCCAGGGGCACCAGCGTTGCTGCCTGCGACAGGCAGCCCGGTTGTGCACCGGGAAAATCAGTGTTCGTGTGGTTTTGGGTGTCTGCAAAGAGCCGGTTGTGCAACTGGCTCGAGGGATGCTGCAGCTGGCTGGAAGGATGCTGCAAACCGCCCCACGCTGCGCAGCAAGGCCAGGGTGGTGAGGATGATTGGGGGGGCGGGCAGAGGAAGGCTCTGCCACGGGGGCCAGGGTCACTGGCTGCCCTCCCTCCGCCCGGACCCGCAGGAGTACCCGCTGTCGGCCCTGGCCGGGACCACTTGCCGCTGCGGCTTCCCCACCACGCTCTTCACCCTGCACGAGCGCGAGGATGAGCAGCTCTGCGCCCAGAAATGCGCCGGCGAGGAGTTCGAGAGCTGCGGCACCGCCGAATATCTCCTGGTGTACCAGACCCAAGTGCAAGGTGAGCCAGCGCCGGGCTTGCCCTGCCTGCTGCTGGGCAGGGGGATGGGCAGGGACCGCTTCAGCATGGGCGCTGGCACAGGTTTCCCAACCCCTTCTTGGGGACACTGGCGGAAAGTGAGCTTGCAGCATCTATTTGGCTTTCATTAAAAATTACCATTTGCTTTAATTTCCCAAGAAATCAATCCTCCCCTGAACAAACAGCTTTAATTGCTGCCTGACTCAGCCGCAGGAGAGAGTGGTTTGCCATCTGCCTCTGGCAGGATCCCTCCTTGCCAGTGCTTGTCCCTCCTTGTCACCGGCAGTACCAGCAAACCAGAGCCTGCAGCGGGCTGGTGAACCAGCTGGGGCTTTGCTAGCAAGAGGGAACAGGAAAAATATGGGGGAAAAAATCGGTGACCAGGCAGAAAGTCCCCGAGAGGCTGCACAGGGAGGATTCCTGTCCCCCGCTGCCCTGCAGGTCCCAGAGGTGGGACCAGTGGGGACAGGGAAGCACAGGGTGAGGGGAAACCTGTTGCTGGGAGAGGAAAGGGCTGAACGGAGCAACCGAGGTCCCAAATTCAGATGGTTTTGCTTCAAAGCAGCTCGGCCTCGACATGATCCCTGCTTCGGCATTTGAGGTCGTGCTGGAAATGCTCGTCCGTTTGTCACTATAAAAAGCAGGAGTGTCGCTTGGCAAACGCAGCCGTGTTACTCCCTCTCCCCTAATCACTCAGGCAGCAAGCGGCTGGTAACGGCAGAGCACCTCCTGCCCTCTTCTGAGGATTTTCGAGGGTGTTTAGGACTCTTTGGGGTGTCCCTACGTGCTTTAGGCCAGGTGCCTTTCCCTAGAGCGGCCACCTCCTCGCACCCTGCCCCAGCAGCTTCCCGGGAGGCAGCAGCACGCTGTAAGGAAGCGGGATATCTCTGTAGGAAAAGCACATTACCGTGCGGCAGCCCTGATGCGCTTTGGCTGGTTCTCGCTGCAGACAACCGCTGCATGGACAGGAGGTTTCTCCCCACCCGTGCCAAACAGCTGGTAGCCCTGGCCAGCTTCCCCGGTGCCGGCAACACCTGGGCTCGCCACCTGATCGAGCTGGCCACCGGCTTCTACACTGGCAGCTACTACTTCGATGGGTCTCTCTACAACAAAGGTGAGGTGCTGGGGGTGCGCCGGTCCCACCTGAGCTGGGAGAAGGGCCCGGTGCCATCCCTTGGGTCTGCAGGATGGGTTGGGAAGAGCTGGGTACCACTGGTGCTGCTCCGTGGGGTGGGTTGGGCTGGATGTGGCCTGGTTCAAAGGGTATCGCAGGGACCTGATACCATGTGTTCCCTGCCCGTATCCCCCCCTGTGCTGCCCACAAACCTTGGCCAGGACTGATTTGGGGCAGAACTGGGGTTTCTCCATCACACAGGTTTGTTTTGAACCCGCTCTGGGGGTTGGAACTTTCTAGAGGAGCAGCTCCGACCCTGGCAAACAAAGCAATTCCTGCGTTTTTTTTGCCCCAAGAAGAGGACAACTGGGGTTTTCGATCAGATTTCTCCAGGAGCTGGCATTGGTGGGCTTGGCACTCTCATCCTGGGATGCATAAAGTAGCAAAAGAAAGTCACGGCTGCGTGGTGAGGACTCGTGCAACCTTCCAGCTCCAGGATTTGGGAGCGGGTGGTGCTGGTGGCACCAGTAACCTGGAGGACAAATGCCCCCATGTGCTTCCTGAGTAGCTGCAGATAAAAATAACGATATATCAGGGCACCCAGGGAACACTGACACCCAAATTAATGCCTATTCACAGCGCAAAAAAGCACCAATGAGCTCACAGGGTGGGTGGGGGTGGAGGAGGAAGCTGATCTCATTTGCCTGTTCTCCTTGGGCTGAAGGATTTGGTGGAGATCCATCTTCTCGTCCTGGGTGACGCAGTTACTTGCCCAATAAATATTTAACATGCTGTCATGCCTTCCGGAGCCAAGCAGCAGTGCTGTGCCCACCATCTTGTTGCCAGGGCCGGTAGCACGTGGGCTTTGGGGACCCCAAATTAAGCAGCAAGGATACGTTTCAAGCCAAAAAAAGCTTGAGGTGGACATGAAACTTTTTCAGGCAGAAGCCAGCTCCTTCCAATAACCCACCAGGTTGCAAGGGGGAGGGAAAACACCGGTTCCTGTGTGTTATAGCAATTTACAATAGTTTTATTTGCAGACCCTGAAGGTTTCTCATGCTTTTCCTTCCCCTTTTGCGGCTCTAAGAGGAAATCCTCCTTCTCTCCTCGGCCATGGTGGAGCTGGGATCTGTACCTGGGGTACCCACGTAGCTGGGGGAGTCTGTACCTGGGGGTACCCATGCAGCCAACCGGGGTTTGTAACCTAAACCCCCGCTTGCCTCACACCATAGGCAGCAACACCCATTTCTTCAAGATTTGCCAAATTCAGCCTTTCAGAGATGGAAATGCTCTGCGCAGAGCCCAGAGTCTTATCAGCCCCCAGTGCTGGCACCCACCCCCGGGGTGCAGCTGGCATCACACCTCCCATGGATGGGAGCATCCTCCGGGCAAAAGCCTTGGTGAGGTTTTGCTCATCCGACCGCACATGGATTTCGTGTTTATTCTGGGCTGAGCGCGTCGGAGGGGCCCGGAGGTATCCAGGCAACTGGCAGATTAGCCATCACGTCCCTGCGTCGCGCAGCATGGCTGCTGAAAGCAAATTACACATCTATAATTGATGTAGTACAGCTACTTACAGCTTATCTCCCCCCCTCGGCTCGGCTCTGCCACGGCCGTGTTGTTCCTGGGTAGTTTGGGGGCTGCTTTGCAGGGGACGGGGCTGGGAGCGATGCTGGGCTCGGCCCTGATACTCCGTGCGGGGGCACAGGGGATGGTGGTACCTGCTCTGGACCCCTCCATGGCATCACCGCAGCCCCGGGCTCATCTGCAGCCCCACGAGCATGGCTTTTTTCCTCCTTCTTAACTTATTGGGGGAATTAAAACTCTGGGCTCAGGGAGATTATAGCTATAATAATATGTTCTGTTGCAGACCGTCTCGCTGAGAACAGCCGAGCGTGGCCGGGGAGGAGGCAGCCCCGCTCGCTCCCCGTGCCCGCTACCCACCCTCTCATACATGAATTTCACGTGACTCATAACTTGGGCAAATAAATGATTTCCATCTGGGAGAGGGATGCAAATTCTACTTCAAGCCCCAGCTGCTTTTATCCAACTGTATTTTGCAACCTGATATCCCCTCCTTGTTCCCTTTCCCCAGCTTGCTTTTATTATTTTTATTAACATCAGCACCGGCTGCTTCTCAGGCTCCCGCTTGCTCTGTCCCGGCAGGGTTCAAGGGTGAGAGAGACCACTGGCGAAGCGGGAGGACGATTTGCATTAAAACCCACGAGAGCGGCCAGAAGGAGATCGAATCCTTTGATTCGGCCATCCTGCTCATCCGAAACCCCTACAAGGCTCTGATGGCAGAATTCAACCGCAAATACGGCGGACACATCGGCTTTGCGGCTCACGCCCACTGGAAGGGCAAAGGTAGGCTGGTGGGCTTGGCTGCCCCTGCCCCACTCCCACGGGACCTGAGTGGGCGAGCTCCAGCCGGGTTGTCGGAGCTACAAAGCTGTTGTTACAGCCCAGCAGAGCCTGAGTCTGGACCCTATGGGGGGGAAGCTTGGGCTGTGCCACCCCTTTGGGGTCCCCGTGTTGGTGGGACATCTGGGTTTGCAACTGGTGTGACTCGCAGCATCCAGCCGGCACGAGTGAGGGCTCCTGTGTGGGTGGGATGGGATGGGATGGGGTGGGGAAACCGAGATGCTCAGCTCTTTGGTGTTGGGTCATAAGGGCAGCAGCAGAGAGGTGGCAGTGGACACAAGTCTGACAGCAGCCTGGTGCCAGCGGGGAGGGGATGGGTCGGGTGGGCAGGAGCCCAAGGACCCAAACTCTGCCCCTTCTTCAGAGCAGCTCTTTGAGGCCAAGGGCAGCTGGCCGGAAGGTTAAAAAAGGAGCAGGATCCATCAGACATCTCCATCCATCACCTGATGGGCGCACGCTTCGGTGCGAGGCTGTTGAAGCCGGGTCCCAGCAGGACCACCCTGCCCAGGGATGGGGTGGGGGTGTCGGGAGGGGACGGGCAGCCCCCCGCTTCCCTGAAGAGCCAGCCCTGGCACAGGCAGCACCCCCATAACTCACACAGGTCACCCATCTGCCTCTGTCCCCACCCCGGGCGGCAGCACCGCTCCGGCTCTGCTCTCCTGGTGCGATCTCACAGGCGCCCAAGTTTCTAATTAGTGCGAGGAGGGTGATCTCCCCTGACACCCCGTTATCTGTCCTTCCCCAAGGCAAAGGTGCAGAAGGGACCCAGCCCCAGGGGCTGCTGTGTCCCTGGCTGGGGGAAGCCCCCTGCCCTGCTGTCCCCTCCCTGGTGACAGCAGCGGGAGTGGTGGCAGCCACCGTCCCGGTCCTGTGGATGTTAGAGGTGGCAGAGTGTTATTTCTGTGCACCCAGCTGCTCCAGAGACACTACCTTTCCCATGCTCGGGCGTATTGTGGAGGCTCGTTAATTATAGCAATTTACAAATTGCTGTTGTGGAATTGACTTCATTGGAAAGAGTTAAAATATTTAGCTTGATTGAACATCTGCTACCCTTAATTCAGAGTTTATTTAAGGGGAGCTTTTGCTGTTGTTGCTGTTATGTGCCTGGATTTCGTTATCACCATGTGCTCGCAGTGTTGGAGATGGCTCAGCCCCATCCCATAAAACCAGGGAACAGAAATGTCCCACTGGTTCCTCGGTGGCTTTTCTCCCCGGGCAGGTCCCCAGGCTGCCATCGCCCCCCAGTGCTGGGGCACGAGCTTTTTTTTTAATCCCCATCAGCTGCACCCCCAAAGCACAACCACAAATTGCAGCTGCAGCTGGGCAGGGGACGCAGGATGAGCCCCTGGCTGGACTCCCAGCACCACGGGCGCTCACCTGAGCTTCCCCGGCCCCAAACCCCCTCCCTGGTCCCTCACCTCATGTCCCTGAGGGGTGAGGGGGGGCCAGGAAGAAGGAACCCTTCCCTCTCCCCCAGCATGGTCCGATCTGGACGTGCGTCAAAATACATCACCAAATTCTTTCCAGATGATGTACAGCTGATGGGTTAATTGTCAGGTTAATTAACCATTGGAACAACTCGCCTGGAAAGACGGAGATTTTTCCACCGCTTGAGGACTTTATTCGGGTTGCAGAGAGCTGTGGTATGGCAGCGGGGAGGGGTTGGAGACCCCCGTTTCGCTGACCCTGCGTAGGGGCTCAGCCCGTGGACGACCCCAGTCGTGGAGCCCGGGGGTCCCTGCGGGACCATCAGCACCCACCCTGCCCTTCCACCAGCGTGGGAAGCAAACCCTCAGTGGGGACAGATCATTTGTGCCAGGTTTGCAATTAGCGCTCGGGTGAGTGGTTAAATAAATCATTCAGAGAACAGAAAAAAAGAAAAAAAAAAAGTGATTAAAGGTGAGTAATTAAAATGGGGCAGGGGGGTCCCATCCCCAGCCTTTTCTACAGAAACACCCTTGCTTCCTGCACCCAGCTCTCCAAACTGTTTCCTTCTCCCAGGAACTAATTTTGGGACGATTTTGGAAAAAAGCCGTCCTCTCTCCCCAGCCTCACCCATGGCTGCTGGTGCTGGGGGGGCTTTTCCTTCCCCCTCCCCATTCTGAGCCCTGCATGGAGCCCACAGAGGCCACGGGCACCGTGAAACCCCTCTTTGGTTCCGTGACATTAATTTTACGATATCCCTGGAGCCATTCCAAAGCAAAGTTTTATGTGATATGATTACACAAGGTGAATTGTCCTGTATCTGTTTAATGAAACAGATACTGTGTTTAATGATTCTTCAGGGAATTAAATACAGTTAAGCTATTAATCAGGCATTGGTTTCTGGGGGAGGACAAGAGGAAGAGGCAGATACCCAGAGTTTTTATGCACCATGAGATAGATGTATATGGCACTGCCAGGAGAGCTGTGGCTTATTATTGATGTTTCATTATCCCTTTTATCACCTGATTTTTACAGGAGGATCAATTAGCCAGAAGGATAATTGAAAGATTTCAGCAGGGAGTGTGGGCAGCGGCCCTGGGATGGGGGATGAGGGAGAACCCATGGTGGGGGGACACCCACTAACCGTGTCTTCTGTTCCTTCCAGAGTGGCCCGAGTTTGTGGCCAACTACGCGCCGTGGTGGGCCACCCACACCCTCGACTGGCTGCGCTACGGCAAGAAGGTGCTGGTGGTGCACTTTGAGGACCTGAAGCGGGACCTCTTCGTCCAGCTGCAGCGGATGGTGGGGCTGCTGGGCATCGCCGCCTGCGAGGACAGGCTGCTCTGCGTCGAGGGACAGAAGGACGGCAACTTCAAGCGCTCCGGCTTGAGAAAATTAGAGTACGACCCTTACACCCCCGAGATGAGGAAGATGATCAGCGGCTACATCAAAACGGTGGACACAGCTCTGAAACTCCGCAATCTGTCAGGGGTCCCGGATGATTACTACCCGAGATGATGGTGATGATGGCGGGGGGATCTGACCCTGCGTGGTGAGGAAAGGCTCGGTCTTCCCAGCCTCTGCCTAATTCCACCCAGTGGGTGGTTTTTCTTTGAAGTCTCCATCTGCTGCTATTAGCTGTTAATCACCTCTCCCTGCATGAGCAACGAAAGGTCCCCAGCCATCGCCGCTCTTGCTTGGCCGACGAGGACGTGGGGGGATCCTGCTCCATCCCGCCCCCGTTTCGGCTGCCGCAGCCCTCCTGGGCAAGGTGACGGGTTAGTCATGCCCGTCCCTCGGGGCTGGCTGGTGGGGACACTGCGTTGCTCGTGCCTGATGCACATCCAACCCCCCCCCCCCCCGCCCCCATCGCCGGTGCTGGTGCCGGCACGCTGCCGCAGTGCCGCAGGAGCTGAGCTCCCCTGGGGTGGGTATCCCCAAAAATTCCCCTCGCTCCTCAGCCAGCCCTGGGAGGTTGTTGCCCATCCCCAGATGGAGCCCGTCGGCCTTCCCAAGGGAGTAGGGACCAGGGAAGGGGGGGTTTGGCACCGTGTGGGTGATGTTCCCGCAGATCCTGGTCGGAGGTTATGGAAATCGGGAAGGCTGCATTGGGGAGAGTGGTCCTTCCCAAGGATGTGGCTGTGTCCCCTCTCCGCTCACACTCCCTTGGCTCCGTGGGGACCTTCCCCAAGCCTGGGGACAGGAGGGTCCCCTGGGACAAGGTGTGTGACCCCTGGGGTTGTTCCAGCCCCGCTGTGACAGGGAAGTGGGGGGCCATGACCTCCCACCCCCGGGCTGTGGGTGGGAGCTACCCCCACACATGTGGAAGGTGCTCAAAGTGGGGGGATGTTATCCCTGGACAGAAAAGCTGACGGGACCCACAAGCTCATCCATGCCTCATTTCAAAAGCTTACGAGCCAGAAGAGCCCCCCGCCCCCCACCCCTGAAGCAATTTTGGGGTCCATGAGCAGGGACTGTGCTCCAGCCCAGCCGCGGCAGTGGGGAGCAAATCCTCGGGCTGAGCTTTTAGGGGTGTTCCCCCCCACCACTCCCAGGCTGAATCCAGTCCCACAATTCGGGGGGGAGAGGGGGGGTGTCCACCCCCAGCACCCTCACCCGCTGCCTGCCGACGAGCAAGCGAAACCAAAGGATCTCCGTGCGCACCGGGAAGCTGCCGTTCGCCGGGCTGGCTTTGTGCAGAGCTGCATGCGGTCCCCAGCCGTGTCCTCCCCCACCACCACCCGCACCACCCTCCCAGCCCACCCCTGTCCTGGCTTTTTTGCAAACGAGCTCCCTCCCCTCCTTCCAACCCGCGAGTCCCCTTTGGATGTAGGTGCAAAAGCCATATATTGTACGCAGCCTTTTCTAGAGTTAGGTGTTTAACGATTGGCTTTTAACTCTTGATCTTGATAGAAGTACATGCACAGGTCAAAATCTAGAGACACCGCTCAATCTATATTCAAAGAGAGAGGAGAAAACTCCACGGAGAAAAAGGAGAATTTAAATAAAATATATTTTTCTAACACGCGTGCGGAGCGGACACAGGCAGTGATGCCAAGGCTGGGGGGGGCTCTCGGTCCCTGTTTCTTTGCACGGAGGTGGATGAATGTGTTTATAGGGAGCAGCTGCCCTGTTTTTAACTCTTCCCTTGACAAATGGCTGGAGGTTTTCTAGGAGAGCTGGTGATCCCTGTCCCAGGAGTGGGAATCGAGCTGACCCCACGCTCCTTCGCTCATGGCAGCCCCGGGGCTGCCTACCTCGGTCAGAACAAATCCTCAGGTCAATCCAGCTATTAAAGGAGAGTTTTTGTTGCTATTCTGCCTTCCCGTGTGTTTGTGGGGCCACCCGAACACCCCGGCATCCCCCACCCATCCCAGACCAGGGGCTGGATGTCCCCCGGGACACGGGAGTGACTGGCGGACCGCTCCTCTCCCCCCACCTTTAATCATATTAATGTTATTCCCGCATCTAAACCTCTGACAACGCAACCAAAGTGGCTCCTTCTTAGGAGTTTATTTACATTTGCAGTGTCCTTAAAGACAGGTTTATTTGGGTGCGTGCTGGGAGAGGGGAGATTTACTGGGGACTTTATTCCCCTTGCCTCCCGTCCTTCCTCAGCTCTGGAGCGAGAAAGGTCTCAGTGCAATTTATTCCTTTTCTCTTGTCTAATTGCCGTCTTATCTGGAGTTGGTGAAATCCCTTTATTTTTTTTTTTTTTTTAATAGTGTTGTGTTTGCAGCAATCGAGACGTGTGCTGGGCATGAGTTGTTCTGACAGGCATCGTCTGAGGAAGGGGCAGCGTTCCCTTCTGCCCCTTGGAAGTGATTAAACCCCCAAAAAAGCCAATTAATCTCCAAGATAAAGCAATGAAGAGATGCCATCGCGTGCAGGCAACGTGCTCTGAGTCCTGGGCTGCAGCTTGTAAGGTGGAAGGGGGAGGCATGGGGAGTGGGGAGGGGTGTTCCCCCCAGCACGGGGACCCCCAGGCTTGGGACGCCCCCCACCCACACAGCTCGGGGGGAATTGCTACCCCCACCAAACCCCTTCAGAGCCGACAGCGAAAGGACAGAGGGAACTCCCTGAGCATCAGCAGTATCAGCTTCTTTTTTTTTTCCCCGCCTGTGGCTTTAAGGTCCACTGAAACTTAATGCTTTTATTTCACCACAATTGCTTTATGGTTTTATTTTTATTTATTTTTTTTTAAATTTTCTTTTGCAATGAAATGGACCAATTGGATGTCACTGCCTCCCCGTAAGTGTGTGCTGCACATCTGGCTGCGCACGCACACACGCGCGCTCCCAGCTTAGGAGGGGCCGTGCTGTTGCGGGAACTCTCAAATAAATAAATAACAATAAAAATAAAATTTATTTTTAAGCACAATTAACCAACAGTCCACAAATATACAAACAGCAGGTTCAAATGTCTGTGAGATGAGAACAAAACCGTCTCCTCCCACCCCACCGGCCTGCTCTCCCCTCACACACAGCCAAGCCACAAGCAGAAGCTGAAGGTTTATGGTTTGTTTTATTTTATTTGTATTTATTTATTAAATGCCAGGCTGTATTTTTACCACATGGGACTGGCATGCAATAATAAAATTTATATTCCCCCTGGAGAGAAAAGCCAACCATCTTTTCTGCATCATTTTCATGTGCAAAGCTCTTGACATTTAATAGCCGCCCTGCTCAGCTGCCTCCGTAATGCCATTAGCCTGGCTCGTTGGAGAGCACTGAAATGTGCAGGCGGGGTAGGCAAGGCTCAGCCTTTCCACGATGATTTTTAAAAGCAGCGAATCTTTCCGCATGACTCAGCCTGGGCGAGCCCCAAGCATCCCCGGGCGGGAGCAGCCGTGGGGCTGGGGGCTGCTGGGGGTGACCTTGACCACCTTCCCCAGCTTCCTGCACTAAAAATCATCTATTTTCTGTAATCTCTCCTCCCCGGGAGTGTTTTCCTGCCTCCCCGGTCCTGCGCTGATGGAGGCTGCAGCATCTTCCCTCCTGGGCTGGATGGGTTACTCAGTCGTTGCCTTAGCAACAGCATCTGCACCAAAACTCCCTGCATTTCCCCCAATTCTGTGTGGGTTTCGTGCTCAGCAGGCTGGCCCCTGCGATGGAGGAGATGATGCTGGACAAGATGATGCCAGAGAATGGCTCAGTCCAGGGATCCCTTTCCCAGCCAAGGCAGCCAATACCCCTTTGGGGTGAATTCAGGGGGGTTCTGGGCAATGATCCTAGGGATGCAAATGATGCTGGAGGGGGCTCAGAGCAGGTCAGAGGGAAGGGGCTGCCCTTCCTCCCAAATTAAATCCCACACGAAGTTTCTGCTGCTCTTTAAATGAGAGGGAAATCACCCACCTCAGCGGCATAATGCAGAAGCTGCGACAGCACTTTCACAAAAGCTCTGTAATGTAGGGGAGAAGTGAGTTATAAATCTGAGTGGCAGTAATATTCATCCCTGACAAAAGAAGCATGTTTATTTATCGGCTTTACTATTTTCTGTAAAATTTACAGTTGACAATCTGCCTGAATGCAGCAAAGATAATTTAAACATGGCTCCAGCCCGCCTGGCATCGAGGAAAGGGAAAGGGGAACATGTTTATTTTTTTTTCTTAATTCCAATTCCAAATAAAGGCAGTGATTTATTGGAGAAGGAAAGCACAGCTTTATTTCAGGGCCGTGACAGCTAATTGAAAAAGAGCAGTCATTAAGGACGGTAATGTGTTCCACAGAAATGATTTTGGTATATTCTGGAGTAATTTCCCACCCGCTTGTGTGAAATGAGACCCAGCTCCAAGTTTTGGCAGGTAATTCCGGGGAGGCAGCAGCGAGGCGGGGGCACGGAGAGGCACGGGGCAGGTTTGGTACGCTGCCGAGGATGTGCTGGGCCAGGACCTGGGGGTCCTGAGCCCCACAGCACGTGGGGCATGTGGGACCCCCATGGGCTCATGGGGAAAGGAGAGTGGGATGGTTGGGGGGGGGGGGGGGGAGGAATGTGGTCTTGGGGTTCTGGCTGCGGGTCCTGGGCTGGGGGTTGGGGTCCCAGGACTTGACAAGGAGGTTCTGGAGTGGGGTTTGGGTCCTGGGTGGGAGGGTCAGGGTCTAGTGATAGGGATGCAGGTCCTAGGCTGGGGGTTGGGGTCCCAGAGCTGGTCATGGGGGTCTTGGGCTGGGGGCGGGGGGTGTGTGTCAGTCGCCCAGCTCCCAAACCTCCTGCTCTTTTCTCCCGGCCATCCCCCAACCTCCCCTAAAATCACAATCGCCACAACAACCACAATTGCTGGTCTCATGGGGATGATGGTGACTCTGGATCCCACCCACCCCTTCACTCTTAGATGCTAAATCCAGGCACACCCCCAGTTCCCGATTTCACCAATTCTTGCCCCAAAAGTGGCTGCAGATCCCAGCTGGGTGGCTGCTACTGCGCTGGCACAGAGCGGGGCTGGCCGCGCCACTCGGCCCCGGAGCTGCTGCTCCCACCGAGCCCCTTCCCTGGATACTAATTACAGTTTTTGCACGTCACCCTCGAGCTGGCCGCGGTGTCATTAGCCTCCTGCCAGCATTAATCAAGAGGACAGTGTTAATTCATAGCTAAGGACATTTCCCAGCTGAGCAGCAAGTCTATCAGAGCGGGGTGGACCAGGGTCAGTGGGATGCCTCTAGGGACCCACAATTTAATATACTGGACCTTCCCATCACCATAGGGGACCGCAGCCGACACGGCAGGGCAAGCTTCCCTCCCCTGGATGAACAAAATCTGCAGCATTGCAAAAAAAAGGAGAGCTGAAAGGCTGCATCTTCGCCCACCCCACGAGATGCCGGGGCTGTGGCAGCAGCTCCTGTGGTATTGAGGCAATATCAGAGGAACTGGGGCAATATTGAGCTGCATGTCTTTGCCACGCTGCCGAAAGGGAAAGGAAAATCTGGGTAAGAGGCTGGTGCATGCTGAGCAGTTCTGCGACTGAAGTTGTATGACGACTACTTCTGCCCTGTTTCTGTTTTGTATATATGCATTTTTAATGCTCTCTGTTTGATCTGTTTACTGCCTGCTTCGACGGGCAACACGGGAACAGAAATCCCCGATATTCCCCAGAGGAGGTTCACTCAGTGCCTGGTGGGTTACAGGTCCAGTGGGCAAAACTCAGGGGATTTTTCCCTTCTCTTCCCCATCCTCATCCCAAACCCTGCTGGGATGGGGGGAGACAGCAGCGGGAGGGAATGGAGCAGCTACGTGCTGCTTTTTACGGGGTGTCTGCCTTTTGGAGGGGGGGAGTCAGAGCACCAGGACCCCACTGGGGTGCAGGAGCCAACCCCTTCCCTGCTGCTGTGTCCCCCCCAAACAGCCCCAGGGATGGGGTGGATCTGGGGGGGGGGCTCATGGTGTGCAGGAGGTGATGGGGGAAACCCCCTCTGCAGGGTGAGCTGCAGACAGCTGCTGAGCGGAGACCCATCTCAGCGCCGGCATTAATAATTCCTCTTTCAAATCCATATAACAGAGTGTTTGACAGATCTTACCTGACAGACAACACGCCGGGCTGAGGCGAATCCGAGGGGAGAGAGGTTGGCGTGCAGGCACATGGGAAACGATGCTCTTTCAGCTGCTTTTTTTTTTTTTTTTGCACAGATGCTTTCTTCTTTTTTCTTTCTTTTTTTTTTTTTTTTTTTTTTTTTTTTTTTTCCATATCCCCTCAAGAGCCATTTGGCCTGTTCAGGGACAAATTAAAGGAGGAATCCCACAGAAAGCATCTTCAGAAGATCTCTCACACAAGAGGCTCGGAGCACCACAGTCCCATCTCAGTCTCTGCTTCCTGGCCAAAAAGCAAAAAGCCCCAGCCCCGCATCCCCGTGCCCCTCTGCTCCTGGCTGCTTTCCTGTAATCCCAAATTCAACACAGGAATCATGAATACACACTAGGAAGCAACTGCTTACTGAAAAGCCCTGGGATCCTTCCTGCTCCATGCAATGAGCTTGAGCAGGTATTTATATGTAAAACAGGTTTTTTATTAAATAGGCAAACAGCTACAAAGATGAACTCAAATATTAGGTTTCCCAAGCTGTCATTATAATGATGATTTAACCCAAGGTTATGCACCAAGTCATCACTTTTTTGGGGAATGCTGTTTGCCATGATAATAGACAGGCTTGCAAAATCCAGCCATAAAAATTAGGGAGGAGCATCCCCACTTCCCCACTCCAGCACAGCCTGGGAGCATCACGGCACCGGACTGCGGGGCAATGGTTTGGCACTGGGTCCTCGAGGGACATGGTCTGCCCAGTGCCCCCCCTGCCCACGCTGCCCCCAGACCCGTCCCATGGCAGGGAAAGACAAGCCCAGCCACACTGACTGTTCCTGCCCCAGCTCTTCAGCTGCTCCAAACCCTGAACCCAAAAAGCAGCAGCAGCTGCTGGCTCCAGGGTGCACCCCCCAAAAGGGTCCTGGGCTCCTGCTCTGCCCCTGTTCGTTCTGCGTGTCCCCCTTGGCTCTCAGAGCGTCTGTCTGTCCATCTGCCCTGTCTTGACTGCTAACAGGAACCCTGTGACCTGTCAGCAGGTAATTAAATACTGTGTAACATGAGCGAGGGGAACCTCCTCCCACCACCAAAGCCTTCCTCCCCTGCAGCCTCCTCGGTCGCAGCGTCTTCCAAGGTTATGGACCGTGGTTTGGTGGGGAAAAAACCATACAGATGGTCCCCGCAGGCGGCTGGGCACTGGGAGCAGCCCCGGGCTCGGCTGCGGCACATGGTGTGACCCAGAGATGGAGAATTGTTCCCCAGAAACGCGGCCAGCATGGCTCAGCCTGACAACTCCCAGCCCCTCAGAGATGCGGAGACTCCTGCGGCTGGGGGCTGGGTGCCCCACGGCCACCCCATGCTGTTGAGAGCAGCACCCAACAGGTGACAGTCACCAATCTGCCATTAATTTCCCTTATAATCCACATCCCCCTGTTGCATTCCCCTTTTGGGCTTAGGCTGGACACCCTGTCTTTTCAGGATAAATCCCCCAGCCACCTGCACCCCACTTTTAGAAGACTAGATCTGCAGCATCCCCCCCTCAACACCAGTGAGCACCTCCCTGCCCCGCTGTGGGGGATAAACACGTCACCATCCTACAGCATCAAAACTGCAGCTAAACACACCGGATCTATCGGCATCTCTGTCCCAGGCAGCTCCCGGGGCTGGCAGTGCCATGTCCCTCTACTCCCAATTAAAAAAAAAAAAAAAAAAAAGCTATAAATAAATATCCCAGCCTTTGCAGGCACCTGTGAGCAGACAATTGCCAGCATGCCAGCCCCTGCATAATGCTCCCCTGGGCATCGCGTGGGCTGGGACCCCCCCCCGTGAGCCCCCTGAAATGTCCCTGGTGCCACTGGGGACTGCCCAGACCCAGCTTCAGGGATTAGATCAGCTCCGGCACCCAGCACAGGTGGAGGACTCAGTCCTTCCTCGCTTTCCTGGGAGTGAGAGGCTGTGGGTGACACGGAGAAACCAACACATAAATAAGCGTGACACCAGTGTCGTAGTCAAGAAGCCCAATTGGTGAAGGATCTCCCAAATTAACCGGGCATGAAATTGGATAGAGATGGTGGCTCGGCCCATCCTTCACCGCAGAGATTTGTGTGTGGCGGCTGAGTCTCCCACTGGCGATGGGCTTGCTGCTTGGTGGGGAAGAGATAAAATCTTCCCATAGGACCAACTGATTGCATCAGGGAACAGCCATCAATGGAGCCAGTCCCCAGGTGAGCCTGGATGTAGGAGGGGACAGCAGGGCCCCCCCCCCCAGGACTGCATTATTCCCCAGACCATGGACCAAATCCCCGGTGCCATCCTGGCACTTTGCAAGGAGCCGCTGGGACTCGTGGCCCCAAGCACCAAACGGCTCTGCAAAACGTACCATGCGAAACGTGCCCATCAAAGTGGGGTTTGCTCAAGAGACACTTCAAATGAATCTTTCCCTCTTTTTTTCTCCCAGTTTTCCACGTCAGTGACCTTGTGCACAAGCCCAGCCCCCACCCTGGCAAGCGGCCCTGGGTCTGGTTCACTTAAAACACATGTAAGATCTCCCAGTTCATCAAGGTTGGGATAGTCAAACCCCTTTTATGAAGACACTTCCCAGGACCTCTCTGGGTACAAAGTGCTTCCAGCACTGTTAAAAACATATTGCGCTAGTACCAATACACTTTAGGACTTTAGCATGAGTAGCTATAGGCATACATAAGAAGACCATCACCAATTTTGTCATAGCAGGTATCATCCATGGTGGGTGCCCACCCAGCCACCCATCTCGGGAGCCCAGCAGTGGAGATGCCTTCCCAGACCCATCCTCCACCCAGTCTCCCTATAACGATGTCTCTGGAAACGGCAGGAACACCCTCACCAGGCCAGGCAATGCATAGATCAGACAGGAATGCTCTGAAATGTTTTCTTAAATAGTTTGGTGCAATCATCTTTGCAACCGCAAAGATTAAGGGCGGTTGTATCTTCTCCATGTGCACAGAGAGGTGGTCTCCAACACCTGCCAGCCCCCAGGCAGCAAAACCAGTCAAAGAATATGCTATAGGACAGAGTTGGACCATGGTCATCCCACACAAGGTGCCACTGCAAGGGTGGCCACCATCATAGTGGTGGGCATAGGCAACCAGGTGACTATGGCCCTCCTACAGCCATCCAGGTTGAGTTAGAGGACTGTTGTCTCCTTCTCAGTCATTGAAGACATCTTGGAGAAACTCCTGTGAACGATGTTGGACTGGCCTGTCTCCTCACTGAGAGCGTTCACCAGTCTGGAAAGGATGGTGACCTTAAACTTCTTAAAGTCCTGGCCCATGAAGACGTAGAGGACGGGGTTCATGCAGCTGTTGGAGGCAGCGAGTGCCGTGGTTAGGGGGATGCTGATCTCAAACACGGAGCGTGGGATCATGTCGGGCTCTGTTTCCAGGAGGTTCATCAGGTGGTAGGGACTCCAGGAAAGGAAGAAGGTGATTATAATGGTGATGATGATCTTGAAGGGCTTTTTGGACTTGGCAAGGCGGTTTCGACGCAAGTTGAAGACGATGGCGATGTAGCAGAAAGTGATGATGGTTATGGGAACGATGTACCCGGCGAGGAACCTGGTGATGTTCACTGTTCGGTGCCTCATTAGTGCCAGGGCTTGGTAAGACTTATTCCTGGAGAGGGAAAAGTTGCTAAAACAAATCACAGAGTTGCGGGCTTGTGCTGTGTCTCGGAAGACAAGAGATGGGCAGCTCATAAAGATGCCAACAGTCCAGATAATCAGACAAACTAAATATGCTAGGTTGGTTGACCGATGGTTTTGAGACCAGACGGGAAAAACCACTGACACATAGCGATCGAAGCTGATGGTGGTGAGAAGAAGGACACTGGTGTACATGTTGAGGATGAGGAGGAAGGAATTCAACTTGCACATGACTGTCCCAAAGATCCAGTTGTACCGCATGGCCGTGTAAGCAATGTTTATGGGCAGGAAGATGTTGAAGAGGAAGTCGGCAATGGCCAGGTTGAGGAACCAGATGGCATTGACCGACTTCTTCATCTTCAGAGTTATGATTGCGATGACAAGGCCGTTCCCCAGGATGCCCAACACACAGGACACACTGTAGATGACAACAGAGAGGATCCTCGCAATGTCCTTCGGGTCGTGGGACGGGTCTGCCCACACGCTGCCGGTCTCCTCGTAGGTGTAGTCTGTGTAGTCACTGTAGTTATCGACATCATCCGAGTAATTGGACAAATCGGAAAGCGCCATTGTCTGTACACAAACTACAGCTCGGTCGGTGGGTGGCTGTGCTGGTGATGTTTCTCTGTGTGCTTCTGCTGAGCAAACACATGGTGTTAATCACGGGGAGCACATCCCGTGGGAGGGACGCCAGCCCCTCAGCACACACCGGCACAAGGGGCCTTGAAGAGAGGGGACGGAGCACGTGGGGATCCCATGGGCACCCCACCGCTGGCCCAGGAGGAAGATGCTCCTGTGGCCCCTCCCTGGGTTTCCACCCCCCTACCTAGGAGACATCAGCTCCCTGAGCCACAGGACGTGATTCAGTCCCTCATCTCCACCAGGATGTGGCTGTGGCCTCATCCTGCAAAAAATGCCTATTACCCGCCTACCTCCAGGGCGAAAACTAGTATGATGCTTATTAACAGCTCATTAACAGCTTCGAGACCTTCCAATCTGCAAAATATTACGCCTCTCCTCTTTCTTTTTTCTCCCGAGCACCCAGCAAATTGGATTGAAAATCCAGCATACAGCCCACCAGGCGCCCCACTGGTGCCAGGCACCCGGCCTGGTGAAACTGGTATCCCCAGCTCTCACCTCTCCTCTCCGGGGTGACGGCCCTGCGCGGCTGGACGGTCAGAGTCCCACGTCAAAAAGGCAGCTCCCTCTGCGCGGGTCTAGGGACGGAGCTGTAATATTAAAACCCGAGATCAAACGAAGGCCGTTCAATCTCGGATGTGGGGTTAAGGGAGGAAACAGAGGCTCAGCTGCTGCCGTGATTTAACCCTGTGCAGCCTCCCTGGCAGGCTGGTGCTGGGGTTGTGCTGGCCTGGGGACCCCCTGCTGCCATGGGTCCTGTCATGATCCCAGCAGCTTTCAGGATAATCCAGTACAGAAATCATTTAAGGTACATTTAGTATAAGCATCTGACACAAGCCAGCATCAGTAGGGACATGCAAAGAACCCTACAAGCAAGCCCATGGTAATGTTGTTATGAATAATTAAAGCCCAAAATATGTGTGAGGTGCCTGGACTCTCATACAGTTATTTCTCTGATTAAATCAGTGCCCTGCGTATTTTAAAATGTTAATTGCGATAACGAACGGCATCATTTGCCATAATCAGAAGCCGGTCTCCACCAGCCACTTAGAGCCCTGCGTTAAATGGGTTCAACCACTCCCCTGTGAACAGTCACTGGGGGGTTAAAGCCAAGAGCCACCAAAGCCAACTAGCAAAGCCTGAGCACACTGGATTGAGCCTTGGCAAGAAGGGCAGGATCCATGTGAACCCCGAAGGACGCGGCTCTGCCCATCCTGGCTGGACCCTCCTGTTTTGGGGGAGTTTCAGCTCAAAGCTTGCCCTGAGCATCGCCCTCCCCACCAGCCCTGCTTTGAAATCCCCATGGTGTTTGTGTTGTAACCTATTGTTTCTCCCTGGGCTTTTCCTCCTGTTCCTTCCTGCATTTGCTGCTGCTCCCATTGCTGCAAAGTCCCCGGCCAGGGCCTTAAATCACAACCCCAACACCCCTCCCTCGCTGAGTTCCAGGAGACGATAAGAGGAGAGAATAAATAAGGTTTTAGCGCAAAGCTTGTGAATTAGTTTGGGCTGGAAGGAGGCCTTGCCCTGGCAACACCTTGATCGTCAAAAGGATGAATTAAAGTTGATGATCCGGTAGAAGTAACAGTATCAGCAGAACTGGCTCTTACAGCACTGGTGTTAATGTTCCTGGGTAATGAGCCGCCCCCATTGCTGCTTTTACGGACCAGCGGTTTCCATGTCATCACCTTTCCAAAGGCAAAGCCACAGAAAAGTGGGGGAGCCCAGAGCCCCATGTCCAGCCTACCCACCCCATCCCATTGCATCCCACCCCATTCCACGCCTTTGCATCCCATCTCCATCCCACCCCATTCCATCCCACCACCCACAGCCCCAAGGCTTTTCGGGTCTAACTCTGCTACCAGGGAGAAACCCCCCAAGAAATGCCACCTGCCTGCCATTTCCACCCTGGTGTCACCCGTCGGGTGAGCGAGGGACCCCAGGGATGGAACACTGTCCCTCACCACCACGAGGTCATCCAGACCCTGCGCTCGCTGCAGCGCCCGGCAGAGATTCCTGCAGCTTTACAGGCTCCTCTTCCAATTGTGCCCACTTATATATTTTTAATGTAAAAACCTCCTCTTTATTATTATTTTTTAATCGCTGAGCTTAGTGAGCGCGATGACATTCAGCTTGACATTTCAAAGCTGTACTTAATGGATTATTTATCTGAATTGCCTGTTTATTTTGCTTCTCTTCCCCCCCCCCCCCCCACGTTCTTTGGGGTTTTTTAAAATTTTTTTTGGTTTTAACATTTGTCCTTCTCAAGGCAGACAGACAGGGCAGGTGATGTAGAAGAAAACTGCCCCCCCCAGACCTCTGCCTGTTCAGGCAGTGGGATGAAGATGGCTGGAGAGCAGCAGGGCTTTATTTCCCCACAAGGTTTGGCAGGTGCTGGGTTTGTTTCCAGGGCTGGTGTGGAGTTATTGCAACCCCCCCAAAGCAGAGGAGATGCAGCTACTGAACCGGCTGTGAACCTCCCAGGATGGCTCTGGGCACCGGTGCCGGGACTTGGAGCCCAGACCTGCTGGAAGATCATCCAGCAAATTCCCACCCACCTCCCCAAAACCCTCCCAAAAATGGAGAGCCTGAGGAGCAGCTGTGTGAAACCTCCCCATTTCTCACTGCAAAAAAACCTCAAAGTTTGGAGAAAAAAAAAAAAAAAAAAAAAAAAAAGCCACATGATCATAAGCATATTTCAATGCTCCTCTCTCTGAGTTGAAAATACCCAGCTTGAGCCAAAACCACTTTGCTCTCCATTGGGTCTATTCATCTTTGTCCTCCTACCTCAACAAAAATGAGCACAGGATCTACCCAAAATAGTCTTTTAGTGCAGCCAGCCGCCTCCGGCCCCGTCATTCCCGCAGCTGTATTTGTCTTGGTGCCCGAGGAAGGACGAGTCGGGCCCGCGGGCGCCGGGCTGGGATTCCCGCCGGGCGGTTCGCACATCGGCAGCATCCCGGCGCGTACCGGGGGAGGATGAGGTCAGGGATGTTGTTCTTGGGAAGGCAACAGGAAATGGAGAGAACAGCAGAAAATGTTCAAAATCCAGCTTTTCTGGGCAAAAGCTCTTCCCTGGCCAGCCCAGACAGGCGGGGGAAGGATGTGACTGGGGAAATGGGGGGAGCTCGGCCGGATCTGGGCGCCGGGGACACAGCTGTGCCTGGGGAGGGCAGGGGATGCTCAGCCCCTCGTGCTGCCTGCACCAGGCATTTACAGAGACAGGCAGGCTGCCAGCACTGCTTCTGCCTCCCCCGACGCCCGTGGGCAACGCTTTTACAGGAGGTACTGATACAGGTTGGAGGAGGAAAAAAAAAAAATAAAAATCAAATAAAGTAAGCAGACCAGCTTTTGAGCGCAAAAGATCCTGCCTGAGCTGTCAGAGTGCATCACGCTTTTACTTGCATGAGGCTATGAAATAGGACTGGGATAAGTGTGTGCCTGTGTGGGGTCCCCACAAGCTCTCCTCCAACACTGGGGAAACCGGAGGTGCCCTTGTGTTAGTGCTTGTCCCCCTCCCACAGCACCCATAGGGTGCTAAGGGTGACAGGGACACCCAGGGGCAGGGCAGACAACCCCACCGGGAAGCAGGTGGGTGACCAAGGTGGGTTTGGCTCACAACTGCCAGCCCCTGTGTGCTGTACCCCTGGCCTTGGAAGTAGCTCAAGTCATTTTAAGCAGCACAGGCAGCTGCTCTGCCTTTTTCTCATCTGAGCAGTTCCCCTCCCCTCCTTCCCAGCAGTGGTTTCCGAGGTCCCCGCGCCCCCCAAACCCAAACCTGCTTCCTCCGGCAGGCGTAGGGAGGGACACACATTCAGGCTGCCCACGCAGTGCAGGCGGCCCCGGTGCAACCCTGCTCTGGGAGATGGGAATTGCAGGCAGATGTTTGGGGGAAGCACATGCTCACTCATCCGAGGAGCTTCGGGAAGGGCACGGGGTGAAGCAGCATCTCAGCATCCCCCTGGACCTGCCAGCACCGGTCTCCTCCGAGCCCCGCGGCAGCCCTCGATTCCCCCCTGTGGCAGATGCTGGTCCCAAACCCGTGGGGTTTTATTGCTCTGGTCAAGCTCGAGTCCCACCCAGTGGGTCAGATCCTGAGCGCAGTGAGGTCCCATTGCTACCAGCGTCCTAAGAAAGATGGATGGATGCCCCGTTCCAAGCTGGCACCCGAGGACACCCCAGCCATCCCTGCAGCACCCACATTTTTCCAGTTTAGGATTACACAGGAGGGACGTCCCCACTGGTATCTAGCATCCACACCACAGTGGCAGCTCCCAGTCCCACACGGGGGATTTTCAGCATTTGGGGTGGGAAGCAAGAAAACAAAAGGAATGGGAAAGCAGCTCTGGGTACCCAGCTCCAATTCACCCTTATTTTAGCCAGCAATTTCCATGGCAACAGCTGCCAGGGGGAGAGATGCTGTGCAGCATCTTGGTCCCAAGGATGCCCAGGGATGGAGCCCTGGCCCTTGGTCACTCAAAGCAGGGGACCCCCCCAGGTAAATGGAGGGGACAAAGCCAGTCCCCACAGAGGAAACTGAGTCATCGAGCTCTGCCCCAAGGCTGGCTGCAGGATGGGGGGGAAGCCTGAGCCCTACCTGCATCCATGGCACTCGAACACAGCCCCGCTTTGCCACAGGGACCCCCACGCCTGGCAGCTTTCGGCACCCCCGACTGCTCCCCACACACCAGCTAAGGCTTCATCCCCTGCCCGTGTGAACAAGGAAGAAAAAAAAAAAAAAAAAAAAAAAAGGAATAGCTGGAAAAGGCAGCCTTAAAAAAAGATGGCTGTGCCCAGGGTGGGACAGAATAACAGCATGAGTCAGTGTTTATCTGGGCAGACTGGCCAGGCTGCGCGGGACAGGATGGGTCGGGATTGGGATGGGTCTTCACAAACTGCCCCCCACCACTCACCCCGATGAAGAGCACACCCCAATCCAGCCAGAAACTGGTGTTTAACCTCAAAACACAGGTCATGGACGGCTCTTCCCAGGAAAAATCTGCAGGAGCCGGGCAAAGGAACCTGTCCTTCCCTGGCACAAAGTGCCTGGGTTGTTAAGAGCCGCCCCATTAGTAAGAGCCTGGCCCTTTGCTTCTGGTCCTTTCTGTTCTTGTGAAGTGTTGAGTGTTAAAGGGGAAAAATCTTGGGCGTTTGTACCTACACAGGCAAAGATTTTCTTTAAAAAGTGCAGTTTGTGTTTCTGTGCTGCTTAAAATGACTTGAGCAGCTTCCAAGATAATAAAAGTTCTTTCGTCTCCTCTTCTTTTTTTTTTTATATATATATATATATATATATATAGGCTGCTATTAATCCTAGGCTCTCCTGGCATTTGCAGGCAATAAAAAGGCCAATAAAACTCTCTTTTTCTGAGCATCCTCCCCACCGCATCGCACCAGCCCAGGCGGGTGGAATAGGGCATGAAACACTGCGGTCCCAGGGGATTTGTATCCTCCCATTTAGGGCTCCAGAACTTGCCTCAGCCCAACGAAGATGTCCCTAAGCACGGCCCAGGCTTTGTCACAGCTGCTGGGGGGACAAAGCCAGCACAGGCCTTGGGGACACGGCGTAGAGGCGAAAGGCAGCAGCTCGCGTGCCACCTGCGGGGCTGCTCCGCCTGCGCTCAAGCGCTCAGGATTTTGAGGGTAGAAAGAGGAAGGAAACCAAGAAAAAGGAAATAGGTCTGTCCCTCCTGCTGCCGGAGGGACAGATGTCACCATGCCAGGGATGGGGGGGACGGTCGGGGCTGGCAGAGCTCATCCCCCCTCCCCCCAAAGTGAGAAAGTCACCCCGGATCCACAGGAGCATCCTCCAGCCCCCGGCTTGCAGCTGCGTGCCGTGCTCCCAGCTGCATGCTGATCAGCACGGCAAAGAAAAGCCCCCTGTTCTCCCTGTCCCCACCGAGGTGACACTGCCACACTATAAGGATGTGTGTGTGTGTCCCCAGTTCACACCCAGTTTCTCTCCCTTCCGGGCAGCTTTCCCACGTGCAAATCCAGCACGGGGGCTCCCATCACTTCAGGCTGCAAAACCCATCTCTGAAAGAGCTGGGGATTTGATGGAAAATTAGAAAAAGCAGGGATTTTGGGTGGAGGATGGTGGGCGGCAGTGACTTCTGGAGTCCCAATGCACTCTGCGTGTTGGGGCCCCAGAGGTCACCACCACCCACCGTCCTCCGTCCAACAGCCCCAAACCCACTTTATAATAACAGAGGAGCAAAAAACCTCAATTGGTTGCAAATGCCTTGAGCAAAGAAATGATTTCCAGCTGGCTGCAGCAAAATCCTCCCTCCCAAAAATACATAAATTCACACATACATATATATGTATATATAAAAACCCGGAGGTATTTACCTGAGCTTGATAAATCCCCAGGTGTTTTGAGCACACAGAGGCTGGATTACACATCCCTGCTCCTTCTATAACCTCGTTAGGGCTGCCATGCAAATGACCCTGAGGTTACGTCGCTTTGGCATCTGAGCAGAGGGTGCTGCGGAGCTTTCTCAACCCAAAAAGGACACGCACGTATTGCCGATGGGAGGACGAGGGGGGAAAAAAAAAAAAAAAAAAAACAACAAAAAACAAAAAACCCCAAACCACTAAACCCAACAAAACGCAGCTGCCAGGCTCGGTGCAGAGCTGGGCAGCGTCTAGGAAGGGGGAAGCGGTGCTTGGCGGGAGGATGTGGGGACTCAGGCCCTTGGGGAGAGGGGGTTTTTCTTGCACGGTTCAGCTGGACACAGGGAGGGGACGAGGCAGGCGTCTGCCCTCAGTGCTGTGTCCCATCCACCCCGGCCCCTGTGCTGCCTGCAGCCGGCTCAGGAGTCCCACGGGACCCCTCAAGCAGGGTTTGGGCATCCTTCTCCGGTGACAAAACCCCACGGTCATGTTGCTCCTGGCGAAGTGGGAGCGCAAAGTGTCCCCTGCGATTCGGGATGGGGCATCTCCACCCCAGGCTGCCCCACATCCCTGCTCCCCAGGACCCCGCGTCCCTGCCCCACCACCTGGGATGCTCCTGGCCTCGCACACGCAAGAGAGGGGTAACCCAAATCCATCCCTGGGGGACACGGCAGCAGGGGAGCACGTCCCCCCCTGCTTCGCCGGGCTGCCCGCTCTAACACGCTCACCAGGTCCTGACTGTTTGTCCAGCTGGGCCCCACGCACCGAGGTGGGTCTGGAGCCGGCAGCATGTTCCCAGTGATGAATCAGCCCGTCCTGGTTTGCACTGGGACCCCGAAGCAGAGGGGCAGCAGCCAAGCGCCAGCCTGGCCTCGGCCCTGTGCCTGCGAGGAGGTGGCAATTTGCCTGCGGCGCGCACGGTGCATCCAGAGAGTCAAATAAACCAAAAATGATGCCGCAAACCTCCACCCCGAGCCAAGGAAGCTCATCCAGGGAGAGATACACACTAAAAATACAAGAACATGCAGTGGCTGGACCAAAATCCAGCACCACAACCCATGCTGGGAGCATCACATCCAGTCAGAGCCCCCACACCATCACCAATATCAACATTTTTTTTCCGGCTCTCGGCTTCTGCCATGCACAAGGGAGTAATCCCGATTTCCTCAGAGCCGGTGGCACCGCAACTTGGAAAACTGCTGCCCAGCTGTGACCCAGGGGACAGCAGGTGATGCCCAGCGAGGAGCGGGGCCTCTGGGGAGCTTGTGGCCACACCGTGCCCCTTGCAAGGCAGGACATTAACCCCTGTCACATGTGGCCGAGCTCCCACAGGAGCTAAAAAGAGGAATTGGAGCCCAGACTGACGTCTGCCTTTGCATAACGCCGTGTTACAACATCCCCCTTCAGCTGAATCAGGATGAAACTTGCTGATGCGCCTGGATCAGTGGGTCCAGCCCGGGGAAAGGAGAAGAGACACAAAAACCCCAGACATCTGCACCAGGAGGGGATGTGCCAAACCGGGGGGCTCGTGATCGGCATGCTGGCATCCCCCTCCCAGGGCCTCAAGGGACCCCTGGGACAGGGCAGCAGCTCCACTGGGTGCTGGGTGCCAGCTGTGACACAGAGCATGCCACACTCGTGGCATTTGTGGCATGTGGCATGTCCCCAGGGGGATGCAGACCCTTTGCACCCCGATGGGCCTGGGTGAAGCGGTCCTCCCACGGCAGCGGTAAATGCAGTTCACTCCCAAAAAGCAATAAAAAACCCATGAAAAATACGCTCCCAGCTGCAGCAGGTTGCAGGGGCTGGCTCTGCCCCATCGCTCTGCCAGCAGGACTAACACACCCCAGTCCCCCCCAGTATCCCCCTTGCGAGCCTTCCAGTCACCTTCCCAAATACCTCATGCGGTGCCACGCTGACCTGCCGCTCCGCGCCGGGGAGGACGAGGTTGGGGTGCTGGGGCCACCCCGTGCCCCGCGAGGAAGAGGAGCTGCTCAGCCCAGCCCCAGCGCCAAAGGCTCACCGGGAGCTGAGCAGGGTCTCATCCCGGTGCGGCGGGGCCAGGCGCAGGGCCCGGTGCTGCTCCCCGCCGGTTTTAAGGGAGCGGGGAGGGGGAAGGAGTCGCGGCAGCATCCATCACCGGGGTTTTCTTGGCAGCACGATGCTCCGCCAGCAACAGCTGGGAGAGGGTGTGACGCCGGGAGCTGGGAACGCTGGCCCAGATCCTGCTGCGACCCAGCACGAGGAAGCAACAAGCTTCTTCCCAAGGGGGCCTCTTTTCCTGTCCCGTCCCCCCTCCCTCCCCCCCCCCTCCCAGCTGGGAGAGAGCCACCCTAACGAGGGCTAACGAAGCACAGAGGGTTCCGGAGTGATGCCGGCCCCAGCTGGGGAACCCGAGGAGGGGCAGGTGGCTACCAGCCACCCCACTGTGCTTTCCCCACCCTGGGTGACCCTCTGTCCTCTGCCACCACCCCCCCACCACCACCACCACCGCCCCCAACTCCTTCCAAGACGTTGAGTCACTTCCCTTTGTCAAATCTGGCTCCCAAACGCTGCCGCTGCTGCTCGGGGGCTGGTTCCCCCCATGGCTTTCATTACCCCCAGGATGCAGCAGCTGCTTCCAGGCAGCACCCTCAGCCCTGCTCACCAGCCCCCAGATCCAGCCCCCCCCCCCCCCTTCCAGCCCCATTAACACATGCAAAGAAAGTCTTGGGGGGGGGGCACGGAGGGGCTGTGGAGCCACCAGGTTCCCCCAGGCAGGAGGGACGGGCAAGGCTGGATGCTGGGATGGGGAGCAGGGGGGACCCTGACCCACAGATGGGGAGGAAACTGGGAGGTTTTCCAGGGCAGCCCCCACCCACGCAGCACAGGAGGTTCAGTTAACCCCACGCTTGATGTGGCACTGAAAAAAATCCCTTCCCCAATCTCCCACAGCCCCCGTGTTCCTCAGCCCTGGCCACTCCAGCCCCGGCGTTTAACCCATCTGGGATAAGAGCCAGCGCTTGGGTCCCTGTAGTTTGGGTGCAAAGACACCACCCCAGAAGCACAAGGAGGATTGGGGGTGATGCCCTCATTTTTCCCTCCTCCTGCTGGCAGGACACAGCCAGGAAAGGAGCAGGATTTGCCCCATCAGGACACATCAGCACCAGCTCAAGTGGCACCAGCACTGCCCTGGGTTTGCCACCAGCCAGTTCACCCCTCTCCCTAGCAGAAAGGACGTTCAGAGATTAAGGGTAATTAATTATCCTTGACTATAAAGACAGCCTGCAAAGCATCCTGCAGACCAAGCCAGCAAGGGAGGAAAAAGAATCACAAACTAATCTTGTCTCCTTCAGTGTCAAACAGTATGACTGCAGACAGGTCCTGGATGAAGCCCAAAAAGATGCACAGCTCCAGGAGCGCTGGGCCGCGCTCAGCCCGTGCATGGGCCAGGCAGTGTGGGGGGGAGAGCCGGGGGATTCCCCAAAACCCACCACAGGGCGTGGTGGGGCTGGGGATGCTCAGCCACGGATGCTCTGGCACGTGGCCTTGGCAAGGGCCGAGCTCGGGGCACCGTGCCGCAGGGATGCCGTGCTGCGATGACAGACAGCGAGGGGTCCTGAGCCAAAAGCCTCAGTTTCCCCATCAAGGTTGATCTTTGCAGACCCTACAGCACTGGGGCGGGAGCTGAGCCATGTGCCTGAGCAGGATTAGGCCATCCCTTTGCCACCTTTCCCAGGCACCTGCCACCTCCACAGCACGCGGCAGGATGCGGGATCCTGCTCGCAGGCACTTTTTGCTGTGCTTAGCAAGACGGTGAAGCTAAAAAACACACTGACTTGGGATAAAATGTCATATCCCGAACGTTTGCCCTGCGCTGCGGTTTGGGGGTTTCCCTCCGAGGCGCTCAGCATTGCCCGCTCAGCAAACCACTGCAAACAGCAGCAAGCTACAGAAGGACAAACACTCTGTTCCCAGGGCTGGTGACGATGCCCAAACACCGGAGCAGCCGTGGGGAACAGCTCGGTGCACGGGGCTGGCAGCTCCAGCGGCGACGCCGGGCACCAAAGCCAGAAGAGACTTTGGCATCCGTCACATCCCTGGCAAGCACACCGAGTGCCACCCACACCGAGCAAAGAAATTATAGCTCTAAATTCAGTATTAACAGGAACCGGTTGATTTGGGCTTATTCTAACATCTCCCTGCCGAGCTCGGGGGAGAGGATTGAGCCCAGCAGGGCCGAGGGATCGCCCTCCTCTCCTGTGCGGGTGGTGGGAACCCGCCTGAGTCATCCCGAAGCAGATGTCACACTTAATGTGGAAGAAATTGCATGAAGCTTTTCCCGCTCCGGGGGAGCCTTCTCCATCATTCAGCAGCACTTTCCCTCACCCCGGGCAGAGCCGCAGGGATGAAAGGAAAAAAAAAAAAAACAAAGCACATGAAATGGCTGGAAAGGGAGCTGGGTTCGGCTGTGAGAATGCTCCCGCTGCATTTCCCAGCCCCAAACCTGTTGCAAAGCTGGGTTTATCCCCACGGATAACGGTTGTCCTGCCTTTCCCACGGGTGGGCTTGCGGGGAGCACATCCCTCCTGCTCCTGGCTTCGTGACCCACTGCGGTAACAAGTTATGTATCCCATTACTGCCTCGCGATCCAAGTGGAAATGAGAACTCATTGCACAAATAAAAAACCCACATACAGGATGTCAAATAGACTGCTCGCTTTCCCCGCTTCGCCGATTTGATACAATCACGGGAAAAACAGTCCCAACCTCGGGGCTTATAAATAGCAACGCGGCGCGGGAACCCAGCGGGCCTCCGCTCAGCCGCGTCTGCGCTGGGACGACGCTGCCCAAACCCGCCCCGGTCCCGAGGCTCCAAATGATGCTGCTGGTTGCAGGAGGCACCGTGTCCCATCACATCCCACTGCCGGGATCACCCCAGCCCGGCTGGGGCATCCCTGCACCCGCGCCAGGCTGCAAGGCTTGTACCCAGAGCTGCTGTTTCAGCCCCAAACCACCCTCCCACAGCACTCCTGGCCCTTCCCCACCTCCACTTGACTCCAATTTTTTCCCCAGGCTGTGCCTCCATCTGCAGAGCACTGTCAGGTACTCGTGCCACGCTCAAAAACACGAGTGGTATGTGCAGGAGAGCAGTGCACACGCCCGGGCTGGGGTACAGCTCCAGCACTGCCCCTTCTCACCCCCCAGCACCTAAAAAACACCTTTTGCAAAGCAGGGCTGATGCAACGAGTTGGAAATACTCACTTCCACCCCAAAAGGGGCTGACGAGCCGCCGCGGGGGCAGGATGATATCTCACCCCTGGGGAGAGTGGCTGAGCTGGGGGTGTGATGGGCATGCCCATGCTGGGCAATTTTTTGGTGGTTTCTGATTTTTGCAGGAGCTGTCAAGGGCCACTGACAGCTCCAGGCGCAGGGATGAGGGGCTGCTGTGTTTTATTTTTAAACCCCAGCCCAGGACATCCTTTTTGGCATTATCAAATCACTTGTTCCTTGCCTTCAAGCCCCGCAGCGGGTGACAGACAGGATGTCACCCAGCCAGGGATTTATGAGCAGAGGTGACTCCTGGCATCACATACCAGCTGAGGCCTTTGGGGGGTTCCCTTTGAGGCACGGGGAGCCCCGGTGCTTGCGATGGTTGGATCCAGCAATATTCCAGGGTCTGTCTCTCCTCACCAGGAACAACTTTCAGCTCCCAAAACAGCAGAGAAGGTTTGGGGTGAGCAGATGCTAGTTGGTCAGCAGGAACCATCAGCCAGCCTCACCCCTTTCCCATGGGAATGCCTGCCTCTGTCCAGAGCCATGGGGCGGGGTGAGAGCAAGAGTTTCCTACACCTTTCCACCAAAAAAAAAAAAATATTTTGAGCCGTAAAATCTGAGGGGAAATAACAATTCCTGTTGCAAAGGGAGAGACGAGGAGCAACACCAGGCTCTGGCACGCAGTGCTTCATCCCCCAGGGCTCGTTAGGGGCTCAGGGCACTTAATAAGCTTCAGTGGGAATTAGAAGACATTGCAGCTGAGATGAAAAGTGGGAGATGAAATGTCCTGAGTGTCACAGGGCACCCTGCCCTGGGCTCCCTGCCTGCAGCCACAGGCTTCCCCCACCCAGGGGTGCGGGTGACCCAGCCCAGCTCACACTCACCGGCCTCCGACATCAGCCAAGGAAGCAATTAGTCTGGTAACAAACACGTCAGCAAAATGTGGGCTAGTCTCATCTACTCTGTCCACTCTGGGGCAGAGCTAAAGGCTTTGGTGTGTCCACGCTGGGCATCTGCACAGCTTTAGTCTGCATTTCTCTCTGCTGCAGCTTGATTTGTTACAAAACCATGGCACTGGTTTAGGTTTTGCTTTTTCCCCCATGTGCCAGAGATGCGCTTCATCTATCACACAATGAAATCTTCCTTTGGCATCCACCTCAACCTGGTTTTGCCCTGTCTCTGCGAGCATTGCTCTTCCAGCACTCAGAAATCAGCTCCCACCACAAACTATGTCCAATAGCCCTTTGGTGAGGAGCTGGAAAAACAAACTGAGATCCTGGGACCGATATCTAGGGACCATGCCACTATTTCTGGATTTAAACATGCAACAGATTTCCCTGGGAACCTCCCAGTCCTCTCCCAGTACAGGGATCTCACAGAGGTTCATACCTGGAGCTCGTGGTCCAGGATGAGGAAGCACCAGCAGCGTCTGCCCCAGCAAAGGTCCTGGGTCACAGCCTTGAGGATGCTGAGGGTCCCCATCGCTCCCCCCAGGCTCACAGCCCAGCCCCAGCTCAAGGGCTTTGTGTAGAGCCAAAAACTTCAGCCCAGCTCCATTTCACCTTCGCGTCACGGGGGGATATTCGGTGTGTGTGTGGGTCTCTCCTCCCTGGTTTCCAATTTAGCATCTCCACACTGCCTCTAGCCCCTCAACTTGGGTGGAACCCACCCTTTTCCCAGTAAAACCAGTGTGAGCCTCCACCACGGAGTCCCCACAGGGTGTTGCATGGGGTGGGATGAGCGAGAGCCTTCCTCCCCCCTTACCGGCGCTGCCTCTGAGCCCTCTCTTGGACAATATAGAAGTTAAACTGAAAAAAGACTGGTGGTGGAGGAGGAAAGGCAGATAGACCAGCATCCGTGCACAGTGCTCATCTCTTCAGGGTATGGAGCTAAAAAGTGCCTGAGCACCGAGCAGTGCCACTTCCCACTGGAGGATGCTGAGGAGGAGTCTGGAGAGACGTGTTTTATCC